GGGCGACAGAGCGAGACTCCGTTTCAAAAAAAAAAAAAAAAAAAAAGCCTCTAGAAGAACTGAAAATATGTAATTTACAAAAATCAAACAGATTGAGGAGAATAGAAGATGGCCAATGTATCTATCCCAAATTTCCCTTGGCCTACAGTGGGAATGATGAAACAGAGATACTGGCTAAAGTTGATAAAACATAGAAATAAAACAGAGTTATTTACAGTGAGTGGGTTATTAGGAGGGATCAATAACCTTAACAGAAGTGGAAAAAGTAGGGAAGGGGCTTTTACTTTCCATACTTTTCATTAAAAGGGTATTACTTTTTAATACCTTCTCCGTTGTTTTATGCTAACTCCAGCATTCCTTACTAATTCAAAAATTAAAAATTATAAAGTTAAACCACCTTCAAAGGCTCCCTTGAGTTCAAAAGGCATTTTGTACGTAAGATTCCCCTGCTCTTCCACTACTACCCGCCATCCCTCCCACTACTCCAAAGACCACCCCTCCACCACCTAGGCAGAATTAAGCTGTCCCTCCAGTTTTGCACTGTGCCCATCTGCAGACTTTGCACTCGCCTACAGATCGCTTCCGGCACTCTTCCATTATTTACTGTCTGCCTCTGCCACTAGGCTGGCAGCAACTGGGAGTAGGAACTTTGGAGTCAATGCCTGGCACAGACTAACCGCTCAACCAATTCTGATTAATCAACCTCCGGAGTATACAAAAGGGCGAGGCCCCCGGGGTCCCCCGGCTCAGGCTCCCTCGCCCCGACAGCCCCGGCCTCCTTACACTCCGAGATGCGTGTGCGACACGATCTTTCCGCAGGCAATGGTTGCCGGGCCTGGCTCGAAGCCGAGTGCCTGCAGATACATCCAGAGATGCTCCTTCTCGAAAGCGGTGATCGAAGCCGAGCTCATCCTCGCGGTAGGCACGGCAGCTGCGAAGAAAGAAAGCGCAAACCCAGGGGACTCGGAGGGCCCTCAAGATCCCTCCCTACGGTCAGCCTGAGGTCGCGGCGGTCCTTCCATTGCCAAAGTCTGCTCCTTTCTCGCCCCGAGCCATTTCGCCTCAAAGGGACTTACAGCCTCCGGGAAACTGAGCTTCTAACGGTAGTGCGGCCACAACTGCCTCAGCAAAGCCACCACAAACCGAGACTCCCGCCCTTAAGGAAGAGCAGTATGCGCCTGCGCCGCCAGTCTTCCGAAGGAGGAGGGACTTCCCGGAAGGACTATATCTCCCGCCATGCCATGCGCCCTTCTCTCCTCCCTTCCGGTCATGCCCAGCCAAGAAACTACAAGACCCACGCGGCATTGCGCGGCCAGCGAATTGTTCTGCGCTTGCGTAACGGCTATCTTTCCCAGATCCTCGGGTCTTCGGGTTTTTCTGATTGTTGGTGCGTGGGGTCCATTTGCTTGTGTATGCTAGTTGTTACGTCACATAAAAGCCATAAATGGAGCACTGTGCCTCGGTGTAGAGAGAAGAAGCATTGGTTCCATCCTCCGCTATGCTCCTTGTGACTCTGATTAAGTCACGTCATCTCTGAGCCTCATTTCTGTCATTAGCGAAATCTATGCCCTCAAATGCTAGATGCTCCTTTGTCTGCTTTAAATGAAATCTGGCTCTCTACTCCCCCTGCCTGCAGTCTTTTTTTTTTTTTTTTTTTTTTGAGACGGAGTTTCGCTCTTGTTGCTCAAGTTGGGGTGTAGTGACGAGATTTCGGCTCACTGCAACCTCCGCCTCCCGGGTTCAAGCATTTGTCCTGCCTCAACCTCCAGAGTAGCTGGGATTAACAGGCGTCCACCACCACGCCCGGCTAATTTTTTGTATTTTTAATGGTCTCTGAAAGCACAATAGAGACAGTTTCACCATGTTGACCAGGCTGGTGTCGAACTCCTAACATCAGGTTATCCGCCGTCCTCGGCCTCCCAAAGTGTTGGGATTACAGGCGTGAGCCACTGCGCGCGGCCGCCTGCAGTTCTCTTAACTGACGGCTGTTGCCTACCACAAACCCCATAGACAACAGGGCCTCGAAATGGATTGGGTAACCCGCTTTTAAGTCTCATTGCTACCTCTGGCAATTATTGCCTCCTGCCTCACTAAAACCACCTTAATAAAAAGAGGCCAGGCACGGTGGCTCAAGCCTATAATCCCAGCACTTTGGGAGGCCAAGGTGGGTGGATCACCTGAGGCGGGGAGTTCAAGACCAGTCTTACCAACATGGAGAAACCCGGTCTCTACTAAAAATACAAAATTAGCCGGGCGTGGTAGCGCATGACTGTAATCCCAGCTCAGCTACTCGGTAGGCTGAGGCAGAAGAATCGCTTGAACCCAGGAGGCAGACGTTGCATTGAGCCAAGATCCTGCCACTGCACTTCAGCCTGGGCGACAAAGTGAGACTCTGTCTCAAAAAAAAAAAAAAGAGAGGAGAGAGAGAGAGAGAGAGAGAACCCACCAAGTTGCCCAGGCTGGGCTCGAACTCCTGGGCTCAAGCGATCTGTCCACCTTGGCCTCCCAAGGAATGAGCCACCGCGCCCAGCCTAAAACCACTTTTTGAAGTTTATGCATAGCTTTTCACTGTGGAGGTCATTGTAAGATCTCTGATTCCATTCTGGTGGTGCAGCCTGTGGTCCAGTTGCGCAGGAGGCTGAGGTGGGAAAATCATGTGGGCCCTGGGAAGCTGAGGCTGCAGTGAGCTGTGATTGCACGATTGCACTTCATTCAGCCTAGTGACAGAGCAAGACCCTTCTCCAAGCAAAAGAACAGCAACAAAAAAAATCTCTGACTCCTGTCAACAAAGAGTCAAACTCTGTAAAATTGTTACCGGTAAAAACAGAGTCTTGATCCAGACCCAAAGAGAAGGTTCTTGGATCTTGTGCGGGAAATAATTTGAGGTGAATCACAGAGCACCATGAAGGAAGGAAGTTTATTGGAAACTACTCCGTTGAAGAGCGGAGCAACCTCAGAAAGGAGGCGGAGGAACACACGGTCCTTTGTTACTGTCTCTACTTATGAGAAACTATAAAGAGCTGTAATTAAACTTGGAATGCGCAGATGTGCTCACTAAAGGTGGGGCTATTGTGCTTTCAGAGACCATTAATCTTTCAACCTATGCTTGCTCATTGACATCATCTTTAAGTAAAGTGGGCTGCTCTTTAGAGCATCTGGACATTCTGCAGGCTTGGTGGGAGATGTCCTGTATGGCCATAAATATTCTGTTATTATAATTGGTGGCAAGCTTAGAATGTGGCTGTTTTTAGACCATAAGCATTAATTTTATAGGAGCCTTGTAAGTGCCTAGCTAGTTTAAGATGGAGTCACTTGAGTCATGTTTTATTAAACCAGAGGCCTGGAAAGCAGGGGTTCCTCTAACAAAATATTTAAAGAAGTTTATTCTGAGCCAAATATGAGTGACCATGGCCTGAGGCACAGTCTCAAGAGTTCCTGAGAACATGTGCCCCAGATGGTGGGGCTATAGCTTGGTTTTAGGGAGACATAAGACATCGATCAATACATGTAAGGTATACATTGGTTCTGTACAGAAAGGTGAGGCAACTCAAAGTGGAGGGTTCAGGTCATAGGTGGACTCAAAGATTTTCTGATTGGGGCGGGCATGGTGCCTTACGCCTGTAATCCCAACACTTTGGGAGGCCGAGGCACTTGAAGTCAGGAGTTTGAGACCAGCTTGGTTAACATGGTGAAACCCCGTCTCTACTAAAAATACAAACATTAGCCAGGCATGGTGGTGCGCACCTGTAATCCCAACTACTCAGGAGGCTGAGGCAGGAGAATCACTTAAACTCAAGAGGCCGAGGTTGCAGGGACCTGAGATCGCACCACTGAATTCCAGCCTGGGCGATTCGGTGAGACTGTCTCAAAACAAAAAAAACAACAAAAAAAAGATTTTCTGATTGCTATTGGTTGAAAGAGTCAAGTTACTATCTAAAGACCTAGAATCTATAGAAAAGTGTCTATCAAGATAAGTGGTTGTGGACACCAGGGTTAGTATGAAGTCTCATAGGTGGCCACCCAAAAGTACTAGAAGCTGGGTGTAGTGGCTCATACCTGTAATCCCAACACTTTGGGAGGCTGAAGCTGTGGATTGTTTCAGCCCAGGAGGCAGAGGTTGCAGTGAGCCCACATCATGCCACTGCATGCCAGTCTGGGCAACAGTGCAAGACCCTGTCTCAAAAAAAAAAAAAATTTATGCTAGACACAGTGGCTCGCACCTGTAATCCAGCATTTTGAGGGGCCAAGGTGGGCAGATCACCTGAGGTCAGGAGTTCAAGACTGGCCTGGCCAACACGGTGAAACCCAATCTCTACTATAAAGACAAAAATTAGCCAGGCATGGTGGCAGACGCCTGTGGTCCCAGCTACTTGGGAGGCTGAGGCAGGAGAATTGCTTGAACCCGGGACGCAGAGGTTGCAGTGAGCTGAGATCACATGCCATGCCACTGTACTCCAGCGTGGGTGACAGAGCAAGTATTGGATTCTCAGTTAATCTCTTCAGGATGGGGATGGCCTGCCAGGGGAAAGATCTACTTATTTCAATAGAGATTCTATTTATGTATTTATTTATTTATGAGATGGAGTCTCACTCTATCACCCAGGCTGAAGTGCAGTGGTGCCATCTCGGCTCAGTGCAACCTCTGCCTCCTGGGTTCACGTAATTCTCCTGCCTCGGCCTCCCAAGTAGCTGGGATTATAGGTATGCGCCACCATGCCCAGCTAATTTTTGTATTTTTAATAGAGAAAGGGTTTCACTGTGTTGACCAGGCTGGTCTGGAACTCCAGACCTCAGGTGATCTGCCCGCCTCAGACTCCCAAAGTGCTGGGATTACAGGTGTGAGCCACCGGCCAGCTTCTTTACAGATGTAGATTTCCCCCCATAAGTGACGGTTTTGAAGGACCACTTCAAAATATAACAAAGAAACATATTTTGGGAAAAAATATTTTAATTTCCTTCTTTATCTGTCAATGTTATGCCAGTCAAGTTGGAAAGTAAGCTGGGTTTTATAGGCTTAAACAAAACCCATCTGATGAGATTTTTATGACTTGTAGGACATGACTCCCCAAGTTCTATAGATAGGAATTTGGACAAGAAAGAAAAAAGGTCAGAGTTTAGTCCTTACTCACTAGGCCTCATTCTAAGATTTGGCAGCTAGGCGCAGTGGCTCATGCCTGTAATTCCAGCACTTTGGGAGTCCAAGGCAGGAGGATTACTTGAGACCAGGAATTCCAGGCTAGCCTGGTATTCTCTTGCCTCAGCCTCCTGAGTAGCTGGGATTACAGGCATCCGCCACCACACCTGACAAATTTTTGTATTTTTAGTAGAGACAGGGTTTCACCATGTTGGCCAGGCTGGTCTGGGGCTCCTGACCTCAAGTGATCTGCCCGCCTTGGCCTCCCAAAGTGTTGGAGTTACAGACGTGAGCCACCATGCCCTGCCCAATCTTTTCAAGGTTTTTTGTTATAGAGAGAAGGTCTCACTATATTGCCCAGGCTGGTCTGGAACTCCTGGGCTCAAGTGATCCTCCCACCTTGGCCTCCCAAAGTGCTGAGATCACAAGTGTGAGCCACTGCCTCCAGATTGCTTCTACAATTTACTCCCTTAATTAATACTTTTTTTTTTTTTTTTGAGATGTAGTCTCGCTCTGCCACCCAGACCAGAGCGCAGTGGCATGATCTTGGCTCACTGCAACCTCTGCTTCCTGGGTTCAAGCGATTCTTCTGCCTCAGCCTCCTGAGTAGCTGGGATTACAGGCCTGTGCCACTACAACTCAGCTAATTTTTTTTTTTTTTGTATTTTTAGTAGAGACGGGGTTTAACCATGTTGGCCAGGCTGGAAACTCCTGACCTCAAGTGATCCACCCACCTTGGCCTCCCAAAGTGCTGGGATTATAGGCAACTAATACTTAATGTTGCTTTGTGCCAGGCACTGCTCTAAGCTTTTCATAAATGTTAACTGTTTAATCTTCATAGCAAACCTAACACTATTCCTGTTTTACTGATGAAAAAAAATGAGGCATAGAGAAATTAAGTAACTTGCTCAAGGTCACACAGATAGTGGCAGAGTCAGATTAGAAACCAGAGTCTGAGCTCTTACCCATCATGCTATGCTTCCTCCCAGTTGACCTGCTTTTAGTCACATGCCCACCACTAGGCTAAGGGAAAGCAAAAACCTTGACCACTATACCCACTGAGACCTTCAAAATAAGCATGAATGAATCATGGGAGACCAAAAGACAACAAATGTTCACTATACCAGAGGGAAAAAAAATCATGAAGTCAAGATTATACAGCCCAATTTTTATTGTAAGTATTTCAGCAATTAAACTTTAAATAATTATATTAAATGATATATGACACAGAACTAG